TATACCCTCAGGTTGCTCTTACTGACGCCATCTATTTATATACTACTTTGCACCTTACAAGACCATTATGAGTTAATGACACGAGGACCCAAGTTATTTAGGTAAAGATAGGAGCAGAGTATATCAGACTACCACTTAGGAGATTTGGAAGTGAAAACACAACGTTTTAAATTTTTCCTATTGTAATCCTTTATTGTGATGTAATCCTTGAAAACACAACTTTGACTGGCTTGTATGACATACAGCTTGGGAGCGCCCGTTTGGGGAAGTATAATTATTTGACTTCTGGACCAGTGGCTGACTATTATGTCTTTATATTTATGGTGCTGGCAGAGATTACTGTTATTAAAACCCTTGCATATATTTTATTTCAAGCAGTTTTAATTTTGCTTATTTAAGTATTTATGGCTGATTTATTTTTCTTTTATCCAATTAGTTGGTAATAGATATTTTAATTTGAACTTTCGTATTTTGGAATTGTAAGTGAGTTGTGTATTCTTTTTTCCTTTGTTTTTTGTATAATGTAGATGGTTTCAATAAAGTTTTTCCCATGGAGAAATTAAGTTCGTTTAGCCATGAAGAAGTACAAATGATTCTTTGTGGAAACCAGTCCCCATCATGGGCAGCAGAGGATATTATCAATTATACAGAACCTAAGCTGGGATATACACGTGACAGGTGTGTATTGATATTTTCTAAGAACGACAAATTGTTTATAGTCTAAAATCAAATGACAAGTCTTTGCAGAATAACTCAGTGAATGTTATTCATAAACGAGAGACCACATTTGTCTCATAATTACCAGCATGCAAATAGATGCTATCCATAGTCGTGTACACACAAAAAAACCTTGAAATATATATGTATTTATGAATGTGCATGTATACATGTATATAATTTATGTATGTGTGTACACGTAGGCTAAGGAGCCCTGGTGGTGTAGTGGTTATGCATTTGACTGTGCTCCACAAGGTCAGCTGTTTGAAACCCCCAGCAGCTCTGTGGGAGGAAGGCGGGCTTTCTCCTCCTGTAAGGAACTAACAGTCTCTAAAACTCACAGGGCAATCTTACCCTGTCCTGTTCGGTTGCTGTTATGAGTGGGGAATGACGCGATGGCAGAGTTTTGTTTTTTGTTTGATACACGTGCTGTTTTTTTGAACCATTTGAAGATAGTTGAAGATACACCATGTTCCATTTACTCTAAAACTTTACTGAACATGGATTTTCCAGATCATGGATCCATGTTAACTGTCAGATTCATGATGTCATGTTGTGTGCTATTGAGCAGGAAATCTTTATAGGAACTGGTTGCCAGGTCTTTTCCACCATGGCATGGTTGATGCGTTTGATCACCCACCTATCATTTAGCAGGAAAGCGCTTAACTGTTGTGTCAAAAGTAGCTAATTCATAGCCTGTGTTCCACTTGAGTATGTTGTTCCAGTATTGTCTGTGATCACTTTTTTTTTTGCCTTTGCCTCTGGTCCCAGGAATTTGTATTTAACTGTGATGACATTTTAGTTGGGAGCCCTGGTGGCCTCGTGGTTATGCATTGGGCTGTGATGGGGCTTTCTACTCCTGTAAACAACTCACGGTCTTTTTTGTTTGAAATTATCTTATTTAAATCTCCAAATAAATGTAAATGAAGCAAGGAAATTTCTGTTTATCGTTGTTAGTTTTATGTACACCCTGATGAAATTTATGAGTATCATGAGTTATAACATAGTTTAAATAAGTATTTAAATAACATGGTTTAAATAAATGTTTAAATAGACTTTTATTGACATATAAGTTATTTATACAACTTAGAGAATTTTCATAAAATAAACTCATTTGTGTAACTGGTACCCAGAACCAATTCCAGTAACTACTTGACACTACCCCTTTCTAGTCATTAAATATGTTCTAGTTTGATATATTTTGCCTGTTTTTGAACTCTAAAAATGAACCCATGTAATAAGAGTTGACCCTGTCCTGTATCAAGGGATTGAACCAGCAGACCAAAAATACTGGGGGAGGGTAGCTCCTAAAGGCAACTAAGTGGTAAAACATTCCCTTAAAGGCTAAAAGGGAGCAGAAAGTGCTGTTCATGTGATAGTATTTCATTGTATTAGGTATTATAAGTAGTCTAGAGATAATTGAAAGTATAAGGGAAGGTGTGTAGGTTATATGCAAATACTATGCCGCTGTATACAAGGGAGTTGAGCTTCGACAGATTTCGGTGGCCTGAACTCTATTCCCCTATGGATACCGAGGGACAACTGTATGTTTTACATTAGCATTTGGATTCTTTCATGTAACATTATTATGATTATGAAATTCATTCACCTTGTGACATATATAGCAATAGCTCACTGCATTGACATAGTGTTCCATTCCATACATTTATCACAAAAATTAACTATTTTACTATAATGATGATGGATCATTTCAGGTGCATAGCTGCCTTCCAAGTACCATTTGATAACATAGTTATATTTGGATTAATTATACAAATGCATCTTGAGCTTCTCTGATTTGCTGGCTTCACTGCAGGATGTTTGATCGCGATATTCCATCAGTTTCTGTTTTTACACCATTTAGAAGTGAGGAATTTTTTTCTCCTTTTAACAGTCATTGCTAACAGTATCAAAATACTTGTATCAGCTCATTTCATACTAAGAGTGTCTGTAGAGTGGTGTTATTCTGACATATGGATATAGTGTTCTTGGTTTTTAAAATTGTTTATTGCCAGCTTAAAGTTATAGTAATGGTTTACATTTGAATCAGTTATTAAATCAGCATATGCATATATATATATATATATATTTTTTTTTTCCCCCTTCCTCCTCCTTTTAGCCCTGGTTTCCTAAGATTTGTGAGAGTTTTGTGTGGCATGTCTTCAGATGAAAGGAAAGCATTCCTGCAGTTTACGACTGGATGTTCAACTCTACCCCCAGGTGGACTGGCTAACCTACATCCCAGGCTCACGGTTGTACGCAAGGTACAAACCTAGCTCACGGAGAATCCATATAGAATTCGGCTTTTTAAGGATTGAAAGAAATACAGTTCTGATTTCTGACATTCTGTGATCTTGTGACATTTTCACTTTTTATAGGTTGATGCTACAGACGCAAGCTATCCATCAGTGAACACTTGTGTGCATTATCTTAAGTTGCCTGAGTATTCCTCCGAGGAGATCATGAGAGCGCGTCTGCTAGCTGCTACAATGGAAAAAGGGTTTCATCTCAATTGATAAACACTTTTAAATGCAATGGGAGACACCCGAGACTCAAAATACTAGTGAAGCCTCCTCGTGTTTGTGCAGAGACGTGTATGATCCTCCACGCTGATGATACCTGCCTCTTTTCCACCTGTAAGGCTTTCAAAATGTGGATGAAGTCAGTTAGCTGCTAATGAAACCAATCCTTTACCCAGCCAGCAAGTAGATAGCACAGAAACACTGTGTGTTGTTACAAGGGCTCATGTGACTGGAATACGGTGGTCCCACCGACCGTTCCAAAGAGCAGCTTCTCAGATCATCAGTGTTCTGTGGGAAATTTCCAACAGTGTATTTGTGTAAAGTTTGTCATTTCATACTCCATACACTACAGTTACCATCACTGATCCTTGTTTTGCTGGCTTTTTAAACTACTTGGTCAAAAATCCCGCTTCCTTAAAACAGAGTTAATGAGCATCTCAAGCCTTTTCTTTTCCTTTTTAATGATGCCTGCATTATCAGAGTATTCTAGTATTCTCTCGTTTGTTTGGCATATAATCATGCACAACCTTTTTATTTCTTTGAGGTGGGAGTATATTTTTATTTCCTAAATACCATACTATAAAGATCAAATTCTTAAGTGTGTGCAGCTTAAAAATAAAGATATATTAGTGGGGAAACAACAACACTGGTCTAGGTGCAAGGCACACTTTAAGCAAGTTTTTCTTTTGGTTGTATTTTCTTTGTATATTATAAACATTTATTTAACTTGTTGCAGTTTGGTAAAAATTTTCCAAAATGTAAGCTCAACAATAATCATTAAAATGTTTGCAGCGTACAAAATTGTGTCATGTGACTGTTTCACAGCCACTCAGCAGACCTAAGAACTTAACCAGATACTTTCCTTTTGAGGCATTGTGATTTGGCTTTCTAGATTAACGATAAGAAGAAATGTATCTTTCTATAGTAAATGCACTTACTGAAATGAGAAGTCTGAGAAGAAATGTATGTTCAGGATTTGTAGTCCAGGTGTTGTGTTTAGTGGTAAAGTGTTCTGCAGCCAGAAACCGCCACGTTACTTGTGTTCATTTGTTAAGCACCAGATCTGCTTACCATTGTATCTGCAGGATATGGAAGGCTAAGATCTGGAATAATCTCTGGATGTTGTATTAATGTTAAGGAAGCAACCACGAAATTGTCAGTTCCTGATTTTGAAGAAGGGTATTTACATATTTTCCAAATTTCTGTTTACCACACCTGTGGTAGAACTGTTACTAGATTTGATTTAACCAAGTGGCTTTTTAAAAAGCCAAAGCATGTTTTGAAATTGCCCATTATTTACCTGTTTAAAAGGTATGTTCCCTTTCTACATTAGAAGAGATCTCTCCCACTACAATCAGTGATTTGAGTAGCTGTGTTTATTTGCTGCATGGGAATGTTGTAACTGTAATCAGAGGCACCAGTTAATTATTTCACTTCATTGTCAGTGCCACAGCTCTCTGTGAGAATAAGTTAAAATAAAACGTAATAGCCAAATTGAAATGTATGACCTATGCTTTAATCCAAAAAAGAACGGTGGTTGGTTTTTTTCAATCAGTTTATGTGGGTGACTAATGTTATAATTAAAATCCAGTGTACATAGTGCAGTTTTGCCATGTTAAGGTCCCCAAAATGTCTTGCCAGTGGCCAGTTTTTACCAAGACTACCCCAGCACAGATGTTGGCAAACTGTGGCTCATGAGCTGGTAAGTGTGATTTGAACATATTTAAGTAGTTGGGGAAAGATCAAATTATGAAACTAAAATTTCAGTCCATAAATAAATTTTTATTAGAACACAGTCAAGGTCGTTAATTTGCATACTTGTCTGTTATTTATGACTGCTTCTCACCAGAACAGCAGAATCGAGTAGTTAGAATAAAAACCATGGCTTGCAAAGTCTAAAACAATTCATTTCTGTCCCTTCACAGGAAACATTTGCTGGCCCCGGGCTAGCAAGTGACTATAGTAGGTCAATTGATCAGTCTTTTGGAGGGAGCCCCAGTTTACAATGTCAGGCATCTCCGTGCAAGATAAATCTGAGAGCAAAATAAAGCTGGTCAATCTGAGGCTTACAGCTCATGGATGTGAAACTCGTCTAGTGAGATGGTGGACAGTCTGTAGACAGGTAATGGTCACATTATAGTTTGTATCTCAGGACATCTAATGGGGTCTCTACTCATCCCAAAGCTGCTGAGTTTTGTTTTGTTTCTCCCCCTGTGGTGCCTAGTTTTTTTAAACTGTTACTCTCTCAAGGTACTTTCAAATCTGTGCCAAGATGTATTTTAACTGCTATTTTGGTGTGACCCCAAAATTAATTTTGTTCACTCCCTAGCTACCTCTGGTGTACCAGTTTCAGCTGTTACCTGAATAGGCTACTGATTAAGTGCCTACCATCTAGGACAGTGTTTCCCAAGAAATATGTCTTAGATAGACCTCCAAAGCACTTCGATTCAGACGGGCTTTCCCTAGAACCCTTGCTGCTTAATGCTTATACCACTCACTACCTTCCACAGGTCAGAACTCAGGGTAACTTGAATCTTCATAAGATGAAAATTTAGAAAAGGATAGAGAGTAAAAACCAACGACCTCCCCTCCAGTACGCACACATAAAACTGACTGATGGTGAGACAGAAAGCAGCAAAACCATGAATGAATTATCAGGGCCCAGAACGTTTTGTTTTAGAGGCAGAGTGTAGATGAACCCACGACTGTAAATATATTTCCACTTCCTCCACTGCACCTGCCCTCCCACCCCTACATATATATATACTCTGATCTTTGGCAGTTCTGTATGTTCTACAATGCACCAGCAACAGCATACAAGGCAGCTTCACCAGTTAGTGGGCAAATTACATTATCTTTCAATGCCAATTTTCTACAGACTTAGTTAAATTGCCTTGTATTTTAAGAGTTCCTTGAAAAAAAATAGCATTCAGAAACTGTTATTTAAAATAATTCCGTAAATTTTAAGAGGCTGGTAGAAAGTTGCTACATCGTCTTCCCAACTTCTTTCCTATTTCTTTATTTAATTTGCAAAAGGAAGCAGAGCCCCAAAAGAGTTCCTTTGGTACTCAACAAAATTTGATGCAAGGGGAAGAAAGTGATTTTTAAAAGTAAGAATTTAAACTTATCAGTTGAGATAAAACATTCTTTGTACATTGTCTTGTGATATAGTGTTGTTTTACATATAGGAACTGTGGCAAACATCTACAGAGAGTCTTTGGAAGGATACCCTGTTTTGCCATGTGCGGTCTTCCAGATTCTTGTGGGCTGCAGATGTTCAGGCATACCCCATGGCACTCACATTTCCTGTAAGTGGGTATCGTCAGGCAGGGCTCTTCATGATTCAGCTCTCTGACATCTTATCAAGTATTAGCAGAGGGGCAAGAATCCTTGCTCTGTTAGTTTCCACGATGCAGCCATTTAGCACCATCTCATCCAAAATGATGTGTACTTTATCCAGATTAAACATTATCTAAAATCATATTAAGGAAATTAAGAGTTGTGAAAACAGGAACAGTTAGGACTTTGCTTAGAATTCTTACAGTGTAAGAATTCTCTAAATTCTAAGCATGAGATTTAAAAGTAGAAATCCATCAAGTTTAAAATTGATACCCACGATAGAAATTCCAGCCTTCATGTACATACAACTAGTTTCCCCATGGTTAACTGAAGGAGTAGGCATAGAGATGGAACACTTTATAAGGTGTTAGAGGAAAAGGGAATCCAGTAAAGCTGGAGAGCAAAGCGAGTAGCATTTGGCAAGAGTTAAACTTGGTATTGTCATAATAATACTGTACACCCAGAGTTACTGAATACTCTGTGCTCTCCGGCTTCTCGGGGAAGGCCTGAAGCTGCCAAATGGAACCCTCCCTCAGCTTCCTATCCACACCGGACAAATCCCTTAAAGCCTTGACCTTCACCTATTTTCTCTGCCAGCCAAACTAAAGGGAAAAAAACATGAGACACGATGAAGCAAGCAAGGCATGCTGATTCAATTCCCAAGTAGGAAAAAAAGAGACCAGTTCTACAAATAGTCATCACGGAGCCACATGTGCTACCGCCTCCTACAGGAAAGTTGGTATAGGATATGTGGAGACATCGCTAGAAAGCTGATTTTCCCTCCTAGAACTTTGAGTACATGTATTCGTTCATGATAAAGAAAGCCGAATGGGATAATGGCAACGGTGGAATGTTTCTGGGGTCTACACTTTAGTCCCTGAAATTTTCGTTTCAAGAGCATGGTCGCAGACGGTTTAAAAACAAAAGCAGAGTCTTTCAAATAGATAAACACTTCAACCAGTGAAATCATTGATTAAGTGCACGAGGAAATCCATAATTAGTATATCTTTCTAAGGTAAATCATTACCACCTGGTTTTCAATAATTTCTGGTGCTCAAAAGTCCATACTGTATTTGCTTAGTGAAGTATATCTACAGAGAATGGGACAACCCTGTGAATGACTTTTAGTTTCTATTAGGCTTTGTGTTAATTTCTCATTAAACTCTGTGTGAAGTCTTCCAGCAGAATAAACTTGTTTTTAGGGGCTCGTGGGAGCTGTCCTTAAATGACCCAGAAAAAAAAAACAACCCACAGAATTTTAATGTGCCTATTAAGGTCATCCAATTTAAAGGAGCCCTTGTTGGTGAGGCCATTTAAATGCATAGCTGCTAACTGGAAGGTCAGTGGTTCAAACCCAACCAACCTCTCTGTGTGAGAAAGTCTGCTTTCATAAAGATTACAGCCTTGGAGGGTTGCTGAGTCAAAATTGACTCAACAGCAAAGGCTTGGTTTGGGGGTTTTCCATTTTAAATAGAGCCCTGGTGGCACACTGACTTATGCTTTGGGCTGCTAACCACATGGTCAGCAGTTCAAAACCACCGAGCTGCTCAGAAGGAAAAACATGAAGCTTTCTACTCCCCTAACAATTGAGTCTTCGAAACCCACAGAGGCAGGTCTACTCTGTCCTATTTGGTAACTATGAGTCAGACCAGCTCTCTGGCAGTGAGTTTGGAATTTTGGAATCATAAAAAGTTAGCTTTGATCAATGGCCAAATCAGGACTAGAATACTAGAGTGCTAAGTCCTTGACCCAGTCCTGTTTACCGAACTTAAAACCCAAAACTTTAAAAAGTCAGCACAAAATAGGAATGACAGGTACGCAGAAGCAGAGTTGGAGAGCCTGCAGAACGTGCCCGTGGCCTCCCCACCACCACAGCCACCTTTGTATTTAAAGGGGAACTGCTAGCCTTGATGCCTTTGAAGTTTTCACCTTCTATGAGATGATTGATTGTCTTTGGAGTGGAGGAAAATCTAATTTTACTTCATGTGACTCATTTAGACATGCCACTCTGAGGGAGGCTCTGTCTTTTTTTTTTTTTGGCAAGCAGGGGATCAAGGAACCTGGATTGCGTGTCACCTGCTTGAGCAACTGGTCAGTTGTTTTGAAACAACAGTATCCACTGCTTAAACAGAACAGCCACTGCAAGAAAGACAAAGCCTGAGTAACTGAGTTTCCCAACATCCTGGAAACCTGATGCTTAATGAGATCATTCTGAGCCAGGGGCATGTGATTGCTGCCTAGCTGAGTATGTGGTTCAAACCCTTAACAATCATGCAATATTTGACACTATGTGGGAGATCCACAAACTCTATCCCATGTGCTTGAAAAGAAAGGCTTAAAAGTAGATTTCCCCTGGGAATTGAGAATCCAGCTGTTAGAGATCTCTAGGCTCGGTTATGAGGGACTTGCACATACTGTGAAGCCAAACCAAGAGCAGTGGTGGAAAGATGCCCTCTGCTAAGCACCGTGTAGTAGTAAGCATGGGCAAACACACTTCAACCCTGATACTTGGACTGGGAGGGAGGGAGAATGTCCAGCCTGAAGACTTGTTCATGTGGTAGCCGAAAACACTTTCAATGAACACTTTCACTATCTCCCAACCCTGAAACATAACTTTTCAGAATTTCTTTGTAATATGGGCAGGAGTATGTGTTAGGCTGCGAAGCACAAGGCTAGCAGTTTAAAACCAGCAGCTATTCCATGGGGAAAAGTAGAGGCTTTCTACTCTGATAAGGTCGCCAAGGGTCAGAATGAACTTGATGGCAGCAAGTTCGATTTTTCATGAGTTGGAGTTGAAACATGGCAAAACCACTCAAACTCACGGCCTTGTTGTATTTCCAACTCATTGTGACCCTACAGACCAGAGCAGAACTGCCCTGGGGGTTCTCTAGAGGTGTAAGCAGACGGCCAGTCTTCCTCCCGTGGGATGGTTTCTTGGCTCTAGTATCTGACCTTTTGGTTAAAGGCCAAGTGCTTTTAACCACTGGGCCCCCGTAATATCAGTGCTACCCTGAAATCACTCATTATTGAAGTGATTATATGGCTTCTATATTGGAATTTTGATATCTGCATCATGAAACACTTGTTCAACTGGTATTTTTACTCTGCTGATCTGGTAATATCCTTAATAGATGAGAAACCGGAGCAACAAACTTGAAAAGGACCTCATGAGCAATCCCAGGACAAAGCTTAGCCGACACACTAAAGCTGCTCACTCTTGACTTTGGGCTCAGACCCTCTAGTTTCTTTTTCATTTGATTTCTTATTTTAAGACTCAGTCTAGCTGAACGGTTTTTCGGTGGGGGGTTGGGGGGACCTTGTTCTCATTAGTTACATTTTACTATAATTCCTCATGAAATTGGGTAAGTTTTCATGGGCCACTGAAAAGATTCTTTTCAGTGATGGTAGTGATGATGGTAGAAGACCATCATCATGAAGATTCTTCTACCAACTCCTGAATGTACTGCCCACAAAATACAGCCTCTGTCTACTTCCAGGCCAAATGTTCTCTCCAATTACGCTACTGAAAAAGAGTGGGGTTTTTTGGTTTTTTAAACAGGTAGGTTTGCTTAAGGACACATTTCAAGAGTAACAGAGACCTAAGTGTCATTTTGCTTATAATTTCTATAAGGTATTATAAAATTAAACCATGCTATATATCAAATAAGCTTTGAGTAAGCATTGGGCTGCTAACCACAAGTTCAGCAGTTCAAACCTACCAGCCGTCTTTGGGAGAAAGATGAGGCTGTCTGCTCCCTAAAGATTTTGTCTTGGGATCCTATGTAGGCTCACTGAGTCAGAACTGACTTGATGGCAGTGATGTTTTGGTTTTGCCTTTCTCTGAACTGGTTACCACTTCCTGGCTCGAACAGACGCCAGCGGGCTGGAAGAAAAGGAGATGGTGGGACTTGTGGAAGGAAGAGTGGCTGACAGGGGTGCCACGTGGAAGACTCTGAGAACACACTGGATGGCCAGTGCTAGTGGGAGCCGTTCTGGAAGGCAGGACTGTTTGATCTGCAACATTCACATCTCACTTCAATGAATGGCTGATTCCCCTGGGGAATGTTCATAATTCTGAACATGATTACGACTCTCCATCATGATAGCGCTGGTTAGAGCCTCTTGCTGGAGAAGGAGCAGGCTTGGTGCTTGGCCGCACACTTGCCCACTGGCTCCAGGTCAGTTCGCACCCTCTCGCAGCCTTGCTTTCATGGGTTTCCCGAAGTGAAAACTGCTTAGATAACTCGATGTGAGCTTTTGTAGAGGATGCTTTAATCAAGACAAGCAGAGGTGCCTGCAAGATTTTTCTCATTCCTGACTCCCTCCAACCAAAGACTGCTAGTTTTCCCCTAAAGCTTCTCTTTAATTCAGGAAAAAACTTTCTGGCTACACCAAGCCACCATGGTGGCAGGCGCTCTATACAAGTCATTTGTTAGAGGCCAAATCTCCACAGTCTACTCCAGATGGCTATGATTGATTTATTTTTTAAGATACATGTATCAAATGGAACCTTTTGCCTAATGGGAGCCCAGAGGCTGGTTCCAGAGCAGCTCTAGATTGGGGCGTGTGAGGTTTTAGCCAGCTGGCTAGGTAGTGTTCTCCCACCTCCAGAGTACATTCATCCCATGACTAACAGTAACCTGCGGGGAGAGGGAAGGTGGCTTCCTCTTCTCATACTAGCAAGACATTCCTGCAGTATTCATACGCTCCAGCATACCAAGAAAGAAATCCTTTTGTAATGGGGTCCCTAATTATCCTGGCCTCTGAGAGGACATCCAGAACATTTGAGTTCATGTAGAAGCTGCTGCTTCCCTGTTGGGTGGCTTTCCTGCAGAATATCTTTGCTCTCACCAGTGTTTCCATAGCTCCTCATTTGAACCCACACTTGTGCAATGGCTCATTAAGACAGGTTGGAATGAGCTCCTCCTCATCAGAGCCCTGGTGGCAAAGTGTGGGGCTGCTAACCTTAAGTTCAGTGTTGCAAACCCACCAGCCAGTCTCTGGAGGAAGATGAGGCTATAGGGAATTCTCTGTCCAACAGAGTTCCTTCCGATGAGTCGAAAGGGACTCGATGGCACAGGGTTTAGAGAAGCGCTAGCCTCGGATCTGGCTTTCTAAGCAGTAGGTGGCACTTGAGGGCAGTGGGGAAGGAAAGAATGGACTCGGTCATCATCAGGGCTCGAATGGCTGCAAATCCTGGTGGGACTCACTACTATTGCCTTCATGCTATTATTCCTCCAGAGCTTCGGGGTGACACTAGCTGAGTCACACAGGCCACAGTTTGGAGTCCTAACTGTGACCCCACTTTCAACTGCAGAAAAGAGGCCATGAGTGTAGGGTGCTGTCATAACACCCGCAATGGTTAGGGGTCTAGAATTAATTGCTCTGGCCCTCTATAAAATTAAAAAATGAATGTTTTAAAATCAAGCCATATCCACTGTGACTTGGCCCACCCCTACATGTGTGAGGAAGGGGCTCTGTCCCCCACTTCTCTTTACATGAATGTGGGACACCCCAGTCACCATCCAACCCTCTCTGTCATTCTTTTACCCAGTCTGGCTTAGAGGAAGTGCCTGCACCAGGCCATGGGCTGTCTGGACAGGGAATTCTGGAGGCCCAGAGGATGGCTGAAAAGTAAGGGGGTGGGGTGGGCTTTAGCTCCAAGTGGGCATCCTTGCCCAATAGGAAGGGGTGCTAATAAGATAGCCAGAGAGTGGGGCTCTGAGGTTTAGGGCTTAGGAAAGAGGCTCTAGTGGCCCAAGTCTAAAGATGCAAGTTTTTTAAGGGTCTTTAAAGGCACTGAGTGTTAAAAAGGCTGTTAAATTTTCCTATACTTTACACATACACTAAGGGGCCCCTGTGGTTCTGGTGGTGTTGGCCTCGTAACCACAAGTTCTGCATTTCAAACCCACCAGCTGCTCTGTGGGAGAAAGATGAGGCTCCCCAGTATAGGGTTGCTATGAATTGGACTTGATATGGTGGCAGCAGGGCGCTGATGGCTGGACACATAATGAGTTGTATGTTGAGCTGGGGAGGAGCTAGTGAATGCAGTGCCATCCCAGGAGGAAGTGGAGATGACCTCTGAATTGGGAACTGCCTGGAAAATTCTGCAGACTTGTGGCTCCCCAAATGAGCCCATTTGGGGAAACTGATCAGTTCAGATTAAAAAAAAACCCTCCTAAAACATCTTTATTCTGGAATTTGAAATCTTCACCCGTCTACTAAGGTATGGGTTTGGGCAAACATGCCCTGTGGAGGAATCACAGTCTTCCTCTTGGGCAAGCAGCATTCTACTCCGGTGCTAGGGTGGAGTGGGAAGAGTGATTAGGAGTTTGTTCAGAGCACAGGGATGGCTTCTATGACTGGGCTTCTTTGCCCCACCCGACACCCTTGCCCCTGAGGCTTTCTATTGTGTGGAAGAGATGTTAATAAACAAGAATTTCTGTCAGGATTTCTCGTGCTTAGGTCATGTCTTTTTGAAATCCCATCTGTCTTGTTTTTCGAAGCTACTCTTACGAGAAGTAGAACAACCACATACTTGGGAGAAATGCAAACAGGGCATTTTATTTTCTCAAAGTTTAACCCTATAGACTCTGGATGACTCCATCTTCCTTACATGGCAAAACGCTTCAGGAGAAAGGGTTTCTAGGGCGTTTCATGAGGTTTGGACAGCAGCCTCCTGTTGGTGCATCAAAACCAAACCCTGAAATCTGCTCTAGTCTGTGTGGGCTGAAAGGAACTATCTATGAAGCAGAATAGAGAGAGAGACAGTCATGGGCTTTTCATTTGATTTTCTTCAGCTGACTGAGGGTGGGATCCTCAGGAATGTAAACAGTAGGAGGCTGTCCCACGTGCTGCCTGGTTTTGTGGACCACTGGCGGTGCAAGCAGAATTAAATCAAGTTCTAAAAAGATTGATTTCTCTTCTTCAAGTGATGCTTAAGTCCTAACTTATCAAATATACCCAAGAAATTTTTAAGAGTAGTAGCTATTATTAGAAGAGGAGGGAAGCTAAAAAAAAAAAAAGCCAAATGAGATGAGGGCTAAAAGATACCAATTGTGTGTTGGTGTGGAAATGAAATTCAAACAGGAATGCCATATAGCTTAGTACGTGTCCTGATGCCACACACCACGGGCACAATAACAAACAGCCTTCTCCACCTCTAACAGATGTCTCCTCACATCAACACAAGACACATTGGCCCCGCTCATCCAGCTGTAAAGCATATACCCTGATCTATCTGACTCACTTTTATTTTCTGGTCATCTAGCCTTGCAAGACTTTTCTCGTCTTGCTTTTAGGGATAAAGTGACTCGGCTCAGTTTCCTGTGAGTACAGTGCTATCAAATATTAAGGATCAAAGGAACCTTACAGCTCTTCTAGTCTAATTCTCTCATTTTCATCGGAAGAATGTTACATCTTGTCTGGTAAGCAATATTGTCGGTGGCAATATCTACCATGGGGCTTCCCAGTAAAACGCCCATTCGTTCTTTTAAAATCAAGAGGCCTATCTCTTTAGCCCCCTGTAGAAGTGGGAAGAGATTGATTGTGAATTGTTTTAAAGAACTTAAATAAAATGGAATGTTAGATGAGGAATGAAAACACATCGGAACACAGGGTCTGGAGGTCACAGGGATCATCAATTTCGGTCACTCACCACTAGAGGGCACTCAGTTCCCCAGTTCGTTTGAAGAGGTTTCCTAATACAGCCTGCAAAAGGATTTCATCAACATATCAAGGTTTTTCATCAATATTAAAAGGTAAAAGACTGTTTTCCCCCGTGGATGTGAATATACCAGTTCTGCATATCGGTCTATAAAGTCTAAATAGTCCCTGGGTGGCACAGAATGGGGAGGCACTCGCTTGCTAGCTATAAAAGGTTAGTGGTCCAAACCACCTGGGGATGGCCCAGAAGACGGGCGTGGTGACCCTGCCCGGAAACTCACGATCCAGTACAGTTCCACCTGCGCACAGGAAGCCCACAATCCAGTACGGTTCCCCTCTGCGCACGCGGGGCTGCCAGGCGTTGTGATCGACCCGGCGGCCACGAAGGATGACTACGGGGTATTTCTAGAATAATCATGAATGATGATCATCTTAGATCCAAGCCGTTAGTGTCCCCCAAAGGCTCCGGCACTTCTTGCTTTTAAGCACTACACAGATTTTGTGAAGTGAAAATTAAGTTAAAGGTCAGCTTGCCTCCAGAGTGCTCACTGTCTGGGGGTCCTGCCAAGCCCGCGGGCTGTGGGTGGGGTGGGGTGGGGTGGGGGTCCTTGGGCACTTGAGTTAGTGGGATGAAGAGAGCTAATAGAGCTTTCTCTGCTAGAAAGAGAAAGGAACGGACCCCCTCCAGGTGATCACTCCTGCAGCCCTCATTGGGATCATGAGGGCGGGGCTCCCCAGAGGATGCTGTGTGCTGAGATCCCCGAGGGGAGCCGCCTACTTCCTCGCTGTGCCTTTGACATTCTGAACAGAGGCTATTCTGAGTGATTAAAGGAAGGCACATTAATATAGAACAGTTACTAGTCACTATCATGCAGTGGGAGGGGCGGGGCAAGAATCTTAATGACAGTGGCTCTGGGGGAGGAGAGGCGGGGTGGTGGGAAGGTGGGTTTTCACCGCGCCCTTGAACCTGGCTGGTTTGTCGCAGTTGTCGGTGATCGGCGTTCTAGATCCTGCTGCATCGTTTGCTGCCACGTGGCATTTACCGAATCAGGGCTAGCGGGCGCTTGACCCGTGTCGTGACGGAGCGGGCTCAGAGCACTGAAAAAGGATACATCTAATTCACTCTGGAAAAGAGAGAGAAACAGAGACGGCAGGGGTGAGAAGGAGTCCCCGGAACACAAGCACTGCACACAATTCACGCTCTGAAACCCTGAGCCCCGGATTGCAATGATTAAAAAGAAGGAGACGAAGAAAGCCGCCGTTAGGGGCATTTTACAGGTTCCAGCGCTTCACCTTTAGAATAAATTTACTCAAACTTTACAGGCAATCAGATCCGTGTAAGTGACGATGTCCTGCAGGGTCATGGAGTCTAAATGGGCACCGTGGCCAACAACATCCAAAGCCATTTGCTTTCCCCACGGAAATGAATTCTGAAGAAAGTTAGATCACAGCACAAGGATGCTGGTGAGGATATTCTGGGCACTGTTGATCACAGGGTGCAAGCAAGGGCATCCCCGAAGTCAACTTTTGGTGCAGGATATATCCGAGGGGCAAACCAAAAGTTTGTCAGGTAATTCCATGACCGTTTAATTCCAGTTTTCCAGGAAATTTTTGAAGTCCTCTTATATAAGTGCTGACATGTTATTAAATTAAAAAAACGAGTCATAGAAGAGTATATCTGATGTTAAGCAATCTATGTCTGGATCTATACATAGAAGAGAGATTTAGCTAGCTGTGGGCAGGGACAGACAGACAGTACATAGAGTGCCCCACTCAGTAAGTGACAAGCCTCCAGGAGTCATACGCCTTTTCTTTTTGGGTACGCACACATGCACTTTCATGATTTTTACAATGAAAAGGGGTATTTTATATCATGAAGTCAGACAGAATTGCCTTCACCTAATTCATGTTACCCAAAAAAGGTATTTGGGTAAGAAACCGAAATGAAATTCCTATCTGAAAGGACTGAAGCTTTGTAAAATGACCAGAAGCTCTGGAAACCCTGCTTCTATTTCTTTTATCCAACAGCAGCCTGGCCAGGCCCTGACTTTGCTGAAGCTAACCGGGCTGGCCTGGCTGTTTCTTGGCCCAACAACATGAGACGCATCTCCGAATGTAACACTCAGAAACTCTATAGGCTGAAGACGAGTCCCAGAAGGAATGATTAAAACTCACAAACCTAAAAATAAATCTTAGATGACAAGGCATTCTCTGGGAGTGGGGCAGATTCTATTTTATTCCCCATAGCGCTCCTGGGCAGAAGCAAGACTCCCATCAGAGCTTCTGATGCCAAGATGAGTCAGTGCCTTGATACCACCCTACTGCAAATGCGGGAGCCCGAGTGATGCCTGAGTCAGCTCAAGCACGGGCACTGGAAGGCCAGCAGTGTGAACCCACCTGTGAAAGGCCTGCCGGACGGAGGAAACCCTGCGGGCCGTTCGTGCTACTGCGTCCCATAGGGCAGGTCCCATAGGCACAAAACAACGGTCCTCCTCTTCCTCCTGTGGTCATCCTACACTGGCCCCTCCCCTCGTTCTGCATAATCACCTGGTTTGTATGAAATTTTAAGCTTTCCTTCTGTGGTTTATGTGGTCATTGACTCTCTCCCTTAAATTACAGTCACAAAGCAGCAAGCTGCTATTTATTGTTACGAAATATCATAATAACACCGAAATCCACAAACAAAAACTTAAGCAATGACAGTGCTTGCACCCACTTTTCATTCTTCCGGGTTCAGAGCAGGGTCATTTTGGGGAATGCTGTTCCCCGTGGGTGCCGCCTCAAAGCAGTTAATCACGACCAGCTCGGAGTCACGGACCTCGGCCTGCAAGCTCTGTCCAAATGAGAGTGGTCACCACGAGATAAGCAAGAGCCAGAGGTAGACAGCAACCACCAGCCACAGGTAACCATTGAGCTTATAAGAAATGAACTGAAAAAGCCACACCCTTTGTCTCACTAGTCACATTTGAAGAGCTACCTGTGGCTCGTGGTTGCCATATTGGACAGTAAGTAGACAGAGAGCATTTCTGTGACTGCCGAAAACTCGGTTGGAGAGCAATGAGCCACAGTGCAACTCGAAGCTGTCCATTGAAAGGTGGATCTTAAAGCCAGCTTGAATGGCCCCAGGTCTTTCCTGGTAATCTGACTGCCCTCTTTCCAGCCTTGGAAGGAACCAGTCTTTCCATAGCTACGTGCAGGCCACAAGGCAACTTCCCAGCTCCAACCCTTGAATTAGGAAATGGGTGAGGGAGGGGGAAAAAAGAATCTAATACCAAGGGCTCAAACAGAAAGTAAATGTTTAAAAATAATGATGGCAACACATGTACAAATACACTTGATACAATTGATGTATGGATTATAATCAGAGCTTCAAGAGCCCCCAATAAAATGATCTTAAAAAAAAAAAAAGCTCTCGATAAGGCAAGTTCTTGATATAGACCCAAAGAGATCTACTTGCTGAGAAATTGGAAAGAGAAAGCCACTTTTAGCCACTAGACTTACCACTCGGCTGAAGTATTCATCTAAAACTTCCACAAAGTTATGGATGAATTCATAAATAGCCATCTCGTTCTAAAATAACAGAGGAAGGGTACAATTAATTTCAGTTCAGCCATGTATAAGTTAGACGCCAGTCAGCTCTCAGGTTTCGAAGCTTGTGGCCTGGTGAGCAGAACTTGGGGGCAAAGGAGTTTCCACTGAGACAATAATTGAGAACACTGCTCATTTGTTTAAAAGAAGCTTAGCAGTGGAGGAAATGCAGAAAGCTCTAACCTCCAAAGAATATTTAGAAGTCCAGGATGAATTGAGATGCACGGAACCCTAAGAGGCTCATGTTTCATTTCTGAGCTCTATTCCCTGGTTTCATCGCCAATTGGCTGACTTCATTTTGTCAGATTCTTCATGCCATTATTTTTCCAACTATGGAACACAATGGGGAAATCAAATTAACATTTGGTTCCGAGATAAAAGAAAATCAACTGACGTTTCAGAATATGACCCGCCGTCTTTTCATGGCATGAAGATCTTCAATACCCTCTTGGGGGTTCCATGGATAGATGTGTTACTGGGAACTGACACTCCTGAAGAGAGAGACAAAATCTGAAGCGATGTCACCACAAGGCAGTCGTATCCCTAGCCTTTTGGTGTGCCTGTCTGTGTTTAGTGCCACACTTGTCTAGGTTGCCCAAGAGCAACACCACAATGGGCGGGTGCTGGTATAGCCTAGGAAGGCAGTCGCCTAACCCGGAAATAGTCTAGGTATTTCCCTTCCACACAGCTTTCCCTCTCCTCATCAGTAGCCAAGATATCCTTCAAAAGAGTCCAGATAATTCGCAAGGAGGCAAATAGGGAAAGGCCAATTTAAAGAGGAATAAAAGCCAGACTGTTAGTGTTCAAAGTTCTTGCATTTTCCATAGGCTCTTCTGTTGCCTCACCTCGGTGTCATTTACTCCAACCACAATGAAGAGAGCTGCGTACTGCCGATATATCAGCTTGAAGTCTTTATATTCAATGAAAGAACACTAGACAGAGAACACAAATATTAGTTCTTATGGATGCCACAGAGCTCTTCCAAACAGCAGGCAGAATTTCTACTGTCCGATTCAGTTAGCACTAAGAAATATGGATACTAGAAACCAAACTCACTGCCACTGAGCCAAGTCTGACTCGTCGCAGCCCTAGAGGACACGGTAGAAGTACGGATCTAACACAAAAACGTTATACCACCTCTTTCTCACAACAGGGAAGCATCCATCTCTGGTGGGAAGGGGAGAACGTTAAAAAGAATGTGTTCGCCTGCATTCCAACCTAAGCACTCTCTCTCACTCCTTTGCTTAGCTTTGTGTGGAATTCAGCAAGCAGAACTAATGAGTAATCACTGTTTAAAACGGTCTCTAATGTGAAAATAAGCAAACACAATAAAGACAATTTTCTCCTTTCTGTTTTCCTTGGTTCTTTGGAAGCAAGCACACACAGCATGCATTATGCTTTTAAATCTTGATTTTTCTTCCTAGAGAGATGAAAAGAATCAATGTAGATGCTTTCTTTTATAAATTATTTACAGATGGCCTTTGTGTGGCAGATGCTGAACAAAATCTCCCCTTGTAAACACTACTTCATGTGAATTAATAACTAGCTTACTACCATAGACTCGTGGATGAAACAACTCCTCTCTCAGTTATCTCTTGCCTAAAGTCAGGGTACAAAAGGTAACGGGAAGGTACTAGGTGGACAAGAATCGGTCAGCCAGCCAAAGGGACAGTGTAGTCTCCCTTTGGCCCATTGGGTGTGTCTGACCAAGTGCAGTTGAGCATGAACTCTCTGGTTTCCCTGTTGTGGGATATATTGCTCTTGGGTGCCTGGATGCACCTACGGATAGAGCTGCAAGTTTTGACTGTGGAGATTCTTCTGCAGGAAAAACCATCTGGCAGACAGAGGGATCTGAGGCTCCTTTTAAAAAGTAGGGCAAATGTACTAAGTGCCGGGCCATTCTGTAACTCTTGGCTCAGTGTGGAGCCCGGGCGATGTCTGCTTGGTTGGGAACTTTCAAGGAAAGACAACCTATTTTGGAGAACTAAGGAACCCTTTCCAAAGCCTCTCATGCCCTACTGACAGGAAAAAGAAAAAAAAAGTATCAAAGCACTCTTGTGAATAAGCTGAGATGGTGCCTGATTATGCCAGAGGCTCACCAGGTTCCTTGTAAAATCTAAAATAAGTTTTGACTGCCTCAAATCTATCAGATGGTCGATTCATTCGAAAGCTGCTATTTCAAAGGAGAAACTCTCCAGGAGCATCCTGTTTGAAATCGTGGCGGGCCTGCATTCGACAGAAAGATGCAGACAGGCTTGCTTCGGGAGCATGTTTACTTTTCCTTACGGTCTGTGACCGTGAGCGCAGCCCTGGGACAGTCTCTTTCCCGCTGACAGCAACATGAGTGTGTGCTGTGCGGGCCAAAGCAGTAACTCAAAGAGGACCTCTGGGATGTTCCGACTGGAAAATCAATTTAGAGGCCAAGGGAAACACAGTTGCTCTGTGTAAATTCAGAGCACTGATGTGGCTTACTATTTCATGACTTAGCAGTGGTTCCCACAGGCGGCCTTCCTACGGAGGCAGTGAAATTGAGAACGGACCACATTAATGGTGGATTTAAACTAAGCTCTTGTTTACCTCAGTTCTTGAGTGATTTCCAGTGGGCTTGAGTTTGCAATCTGAATTAAGAATTTCCACTTAAAGTTCTTTGTTTAAATCAAAAGGAAAAAGTGGGCTTAAAAAGAAAGCATCTTTATTATTCCTTTAAACAGAAATCACAGTATTATATTATTTTGAAATAAACAAACTGTCTTTATTACTATCTTAATGTCAAGAAATCTGCCTTTCTACCAAATATTTATACTGAACCCTTATTTTGGCAGAAGGGCCAGATTTGTGGTGTTTTTTTAAAAAAATACTTTTTATTGGGGGCTCTTACATCTCTTATCACAATCCATACATTCCTCCAATGTGTCAAGTACATTTGCACATATGCCGCCATCATCATTTTCAAACCATCCTCTTCCCACCGGAGCGGTTTGTTTGTTTTTACAGTAGTCTTGAGTTGCCATTGATTGGGCATCCTCAAAGCAAGCGATTCGAACCAAAGACCACTGACTTCCAAATCCATAACCTTAGGATAGAAGTCTGCTTCTTCTCACACGAGGGCATGTCAGCCTTAAGCCCAAGGGAGTATTTCAATTCCTTTAACCTACTAGAGGGGTGTTTAGTTCACTTAGTGGGGTTTCCAAATCGAATCCTTGTGGTGTAGCCTACCGATTTGTTGTTTCATTTGGGTTTTTAACTTCCATTTTGCCCATCTGCATGCTTAAATATGCCAGGTTCAAAGGACCTTGGTTTGGTTTTAAAATCACTAGATCCCGTATTATATTGCTGGTATATTGATAACAAAAAGATAACCAGAAAGGAAAAAAGCAACAACACTGCAGACTACGTGAGAATGATATTATTATCCTCTGCCACAAAATGAGTCTTGGGTGTTCCCTTCATAGCTGTCACCTTGTAGCTTCACAAGAGCCACCTTCTACAGACACTGACGGGCAAGAGTGCCAAGGTGAAACAAGAAAATACGTCATGAGGAGGAGTGGGTCTGAGCTGCTGCTTCCACGATGTGCTCAGACAAATATGCTGACTAAGAACCTAAGGCTCTTTCTTGCTTTTATTTCCCTTAAGGGAGGCAAAGACAGTGATGGTCGGGTTCATTTCATCCGTTCCTTATTTTCCCTAATAGCTGTTGAAAGGACATAGTCAAAGAACAGGATGGTCCCCGAGGTTCCGTGACGCACATCTGCCAGACACTCACTTGTTCGCTGGATCGAGACAGGCAGCTCTTTATGACTTCTGCTTCCAGGAGTGTGCGCTTATTGGTCTCCACGTGCTCGTAGTACTTCGAAAGTCGGGTCTGCCCTTGCTTATTTACCATGAGGAAAAATTTTATCATCTTTTCCCCTTGGCCAATATGTTTCCAGATAGACTTAAAAAGCTATGGCAGTAGCTGGTTTTAACTGGAACGAACCTGGAGGTTAAAAGAACAGCAAGAAGACAAGATCAAATTTCCTACAGAGCCGTATTAAATCATATTTAATAGCAATGGTGTGATGACTCTTCGACGGATTAAATAAAATATCCCCTGATAACACTGGTCTTCACTCCGATGAACAAAATGACGCTTTAATAAAAATCAGCAATGATATCTACCCGGGAACCCCTAAGGTCCCTTGAAAATAAATAGCTGATCAGGATTGCCTTATTTCTCCCAGAAAAGGCTCTCTACCACTATCTGAAACATAGGAGACACTCTACATGCATCAACAACGAATCAAGAAAACAGTATCAAGTAAATCTAGCAGATCTGAGTCCTTGTTAACAATCTGGTTCTGATGTCCACTCCTGCTCGTCCACAAGGGTTAGCTGCTACTTTCAGCAGTTGCAATTACCAGGATCAGTTTCCCAACCTCCTGCCTAGGACCCTGAAAGATGAAAGTCAGCCCAGGTGAGTGTTTTGGGCCTTCTCCACAAAGTCTGAAGGTGTCAGCTGAAGAATCGGCTTGCAAAGGACTCAGCTGGCCGAACCCTAGCAGTCGAGCCCGACGGGCAGGCTTCCATTAATTTCAGAGGCTCTTTGAGCACAAAGCATTAATTATATGTTCGGAATGAGGCATCAGTGCCCGTTAAGGGTGGGGTTGATTCTCCTGTATTCATGTGTCATGTTGACAAACTGAGCTCGAATGAGGTCAACCGACTGCATGGGAGAACTGGATCCCGTGCGTCTGAGTGGCCCACGACTGCTCAGGATCCGCGCTAAGGACACAGAGGCCAGGGCCACTGCTTCCTAGAGGCAGTCTGCCCGTGCACGTGGCGCTGTAGCGAAATCAAGCAGGAAACCAAACATGGGCTTTTTTCCCCCTTTGGGGATTTTGCTCACTTGGGGGAAGATGGGGCTTTCTACTCCCAGAAAGAGCTGCTTACCATCTCGGAAACCTACAGGGGTGGTTGTGCTCTGTCCTACAAGGTGGCCATGTGTCAGAATTGACAGCATGACTTTGTGAGTTTGCTCACTCTCGGGAGTTGGAGAGTGTCTTAGTTAAAAGTTTGGACTTGGGTCAGAGGCCTCTGGCTGGGACACTTATCTGCCCTGTGACTAATCTGTTTGGCATTTCTGCACCCATTTGGTATGTGAATTTAGGTAGCATACAAACAGCACCCAGCAACAGGTCTGGTTCGTTTTAAGCGTCCACTCACCACAGCGGGGATATCGTTATGACTTCCTCGGTGCAAATGGAAAGAACAGAATAATGGGATAACGCATGGGCTTGGTGCCCTCTGCCCCAATAACCCCCCCACCTGCTTCACAGGGACAACTCGGTGACACCGTGTACCTGGACCAAGGCTTCACGTCACTGTCCTCTGCCCTCTCCGCTCCGTTTCCTAAATCCTCTCAGGCAGGCTGTTCTCCCACACAGTCCCCAGCACTGATGGCTACCGAGCCAGTTGCTGAAAACACAGGCCTGGTGTTGCTGCGACTCATTCGGGCGTGGGAGCCCAGGACCAGCAGGATGTCATTTAGACCAGATTGGCTGGGGGTATGACAGCTGGGTCATGGGGGAGGGTTGTGGTCACTCCCTCCCTCTTCCAGGAAGATAAACTCACTGCTGTCAGTGGGCATGCCACATACTCTTCGTGCGTAATCACTTGGTATTAAATACTGCTTTAACCTCCGACGAATTATTGCCAGCAAATGATGGCCACTGGCTAGTGAGTTAAGATGATCATCCTTCTAGTCCCCTTCAGCAAAGTTACCTTAAACCCATCTTTGATTGTTTAGAAAGGTTACACAGCTAGCAAGTACAATCCTGTAGCCTGGATTCCCCCAACCAGGGAAGAGTTAAAAAAACAATGTTTCCGGGGGAGGGAGGGGAAAGAAATGGGGAGCTGATATCAGGGGCTCAAGTGGGAAGAGAATGCTTTGAAAACGATGATGGCGGCATATGTGCACACGCCCTAATAAAAGTATTTAACCCCCACCCCACCCCACCCCCGATGTTTCCCAAGGCCAACCTTAGCCTGTAAATGCCTGCTCGTATCAAGAAGTAAAGTGAGCTGTAAGCAGATCCTGCTGGGACGCTACAGCAAGGGATCAAATTGGTTTCCACCTTAGAAGCACAGCATTCCTTCCCCCTGACTTCAAGCGCAAGGAGGACAAACAAGGACTTGTTGAACTGAGTCTCGTTAGAAGGCATGTTTTGAAATGAGTAGCTGGAAGCATCTAATGACTTGTATCCAGCTCTCTTCCTGCACACTCGTAACAATTACACAATTTATTCCTGTAGGAGTCACCGTGGTAATTAAGCGGAGTAGCACAATTTAAACTATTGCTACTCTAAAACACACAACGCCAAATACATACAATGGCGAGACTCAGAAAAAATACATGGTTAAGAATCGATGCGGAAGGCTTTAGACACCTCTCCTGGTGACTAGTCATTAGGGAGGAGGGAGATCAAATGTTAGGGACGTAAAGAGGGCAGTGAGGAGGCATATGCCTAGACAAGTGCTGGGAGAGGTCAGGGAACAGGTATGAACTTCCTCTGTCTATACACTTTTTGCATTCAACCACCACAAGGCGGGGCAAGAGCTTTTAAAGGTCAGGAAGTCAGGAGATTCCGCACCCAAAGGCCTGTGTGAATATGTAAAGATGATCGAAGGAGGGGGAAAATAATGGAGGCTTTGTTAGGACATTCGTGGTATAAAAGCAGGGATTGAACAAGAATTGTCCTTAGGTGGCTTTATCCTAGAGGCCTGTTTCAAAGGCCAAGACTGGTGAGGTTTCACAGATTAACAGACCCGTGTTCCAGAACCACCCAAGCTGTCAATTTAATGAATGCCCAGAGAAAAGTCAGACTGAAAAACGTTGAATCGGGCACAGCTTTCGTATTTCTGTGAGTGAGAACTGGAAGAATCATTACAGAATGTCATTCCCAAAGATGGAAAATAGATTTCAGGTTGGGTGCCAACTGAGTGATGTATTGGACGCCTGGAGCACTGGGCTGAGAAGGAGTCCAGAGCTGCTTCCAGGATGTAGAGCAGCAGGAGGCTGTGCAGGACTCGTGACGTGAGCACGAGGAAGACAACAGGGCAGTGCGGGGACCTTCTAGTGGTCTCTGCCCATGTACACACCTTCCTCGCACATGGGCTACAGCCCGTCAGAGATGCAGAGCGAAGGCCTGAGTTCTGGCCTCCTGACACACGACACTGTCTTGAATTCACGACCTTGCCTCTTTGCCTCACTCAGTGTGCTAGGGCTACTAAATGGTCATTTCAGTGTAATAAGTGTAATAATCAGCTTGAAGTCGCTTTC